TTTTTATACTTTTAGTAGAGATGGGGTTTCATCATGTTGGCCAGTATGGTCTCGATCTCTTGACCTTGTGATCTGCCCACTTCAGCTTCCTAAAGTGCTGGGATTATAGGCGTGAGCCACCATGCCCAGCCGATAAAAAGTTTTTACTTCCATCCTGAAAACTGGAGCAGAGAAGAGACAATGGGATTCAATTACTGAAGATATTCACACTGAGGTCTGCAAATGACCAGTAAATTTCCTCTTTCAGGGTTTATTTGCATTTAAAAAGACAGACTCTCCTACCTTAAGACTCTCTAAGTGGTAAGATGTATTCAGAACTCCAGTTAAAGAGTTGGAAGGATGGGCTTTTCACCCCTCATTGGATATTGGTGCTAGACCACCCAGCTCCCCACTAACTTTCCCAGTGACCAAAGAAAATGGATGGGTCCTCTGGATCCTCACATCAAAGTGGGAGATCGCCTAGTCTCTATGCTAAACCTCATCACTTCAGTGCATTTGTGGAAAAAATTTTTGTCTTTCCTCTGGCTTCTTTTATTTTCAGGAAACATCTCTTATTGTGCTTAATTATGTAGAGAAGAAAACAGCACTAAGTTAGAGCTTGGACTTGGCATGAATGACCTCTAATAATTTTTAGTTTATCGAACTTTGTGGACCTCCCCCCCACCCTCCTTTTTCTGTGACCCCTGCAAGCCATGATATTCACTTCCCTCACCCCGATTTGGGAAAATATAGTCTTCCTGAATAAAATGCTTCAATTTATTGTGAAGGGTTCTCATTGACCTCTGGTCGAGCCTGGTGAACTTGAAATGAATGTATTGATCTCTGTGTAACCTATCCCTCAGGATCCTCCTTATACCTCTGGAGTTACGGAAGGAGTATGACATAACAAGTTATAGAGCTTTTTTTTTTTTCCATTAGCCATTCATAGCTATTGCTGTTTTAATTCCACAAGTAAGTAGTGTTTTCTAAAAAGCAATTGAACTATGAAGAACTGGGGATATCAAGGGCAGCTCCATTATCTTCCTTCCACTCAGTCTTCTCCCAAGAATTTCCCCAGAACAGAATCATCTTGTGCCCGTCATTTCTCTGAGGTGCATTGTTACCTATGACTCGATTCATCATCTTTTCTGCTCCTCCTGTATAAATCAGCTCTCCTGACCTTGGCTTGCATGTGTTCTACTCCCGCTATCTCCCCATAGAATTGTTACCTTAGGATGCTGAAAGGGGAGGGACAACTTCCTTGCTTAAAATCATCATCACCATTTGTGATAGAAAAATGGTTCTCCAAAAGATACTTATGTCCTAGTCACTTGAGTCTGTGATCCTTATGCTATACTGTATAACCAAAAATGGGGAAGCCTGGTAGTAGGAGAAGTTTACAGATGTGATTCAGTCAAGGATTTTTAGATGAGGAGGTTGTGCTAGATGAGTCAGGCAGATCCTAACTGTAGTCACCTATATCCTTATAATAGAGATAGGGGAAATCAGACACAGAGAGAAAGCTATGGGGAGATGAATCAGAGAAGAATTTGAAACATTTCCCTTAAGAGTAAAGTGATGTGGCTACAAGTCAATGAATACTGGCAGCACCAGAAGCTAGAAGAGGCAAGTGACTCTTCCTCTGGAGCCTCTGGAGGGACTGTGATCCTGCTGATGCCTTGACTTCTGCCCAGTAATGTTCATCTCTGACTTCTGGCATCCGTAATTGTAAGATAATAAACATGCGCTATTTCAAATAACCAAGTTTGTGGTAAATTTGTTCCAGCAGCTGCACCATTTATTATTTCTTTTCAGACAATGGGGTATTTTTCTTAATATGAATTGCCTTGTAAAGCCTCACTGCATTCCCACACAATACACCATGTTTCCACCATTACCACTATAGTCATTATGAAAACATAGATTAAGAGTCACTAGCCCAGCCGGCACGGTGGCTCACGCCTGTAATCCCAGCACTTTGGGAGGCCGAGGTGGGTGGATCACGAGGTCAAGAGATCGAGACCATCCTGGTCAACATGGTGAAACCCCGCCTCTACTAAAAATACAAAAAATCAGCTGGGCATGGTGGTGCATGCCTGTAATCCCAGCTACTGAGGAGGCTGAGGCAGGAGAATTACCTGAACTCAGCAGGCGGAGGTTGTGGTGAGCCGAGATCGTGCCATTGCACTCCAGCCTGGGTAACAAGAGCGAAACTCTGTCTCAAAAAAAAAAAAAAAAAGAGTCACTAGCCCAGACATATTAAAACATATTCTAATTCAAACATATTAAAATGCTACATAAAATATTTTTTGAAGAAATCAAATAGGTTGCTGAGCTGGAAATCAAGAAGGGACTGACTCCACTTTCTGCAAATGCAAATACAACACAGGGCAGAAAAAAGATGATGGGAAATGGACAGAAAACAGACTGTAGA